ACAACTATTTATATTTTCAAGCTTCTAGAGTATAATAAAAGATCAAGAAACAACAATCAGGCTTTTCAAGAACTCAAAACATAGTTAAACTGTTTGTATCATAAAAAGTGGGCTCATTTGTGCACATGCGCAAATCGGACTGTAGATCACCTTTAAATATTTCATGCACAATATATGAAAACTAGCTTCATTTTGATGTTTTTCGATAATTCAAGTACCTAATTTTCTGCAAATCACCAAATGATAATGGGCTTTTTTAATTTTAAAACATTTTTTTGCCTTTATTTTTGACATGTACATGCCGAAATCTACACATGCATGGAATACAAGCAAGCGATAGTTTGTTGTCGTAGTTTTACAAGCGCGGAAAATTTTTAACTTTTAAATATTTCATGCACAATATATGAAAACTAGCTTCATTTTGATGTTTTTGTATAATTTAAGTACCTAATTTTCTTTTTAATTTTTAAACATTTTTTTGCCCTTATTTTTGACATGTGCATGCCGAAATCTACACATGGAATAGCATTGCCTTGGACTTCGTGTTTTTGAAATCTGACACCCTATGAAGCAAGCTGGAAAAATGTATGTGTAAACAAAAAAGCCCATTATCATTTAGTAATAAAATATTTCAATTTTTATATTTTATATGGGGTTTCTATAGTGTCATTTCAAACTGCCAACTTCGAACAAACAAAACAACCACGAAATAAATTTCATTGAATTTTAAAGGGACTTGATAATCAGTTCAAGGGTTCAGTCATTGTTCAAGGAAATACGTCGGAAATGACAGAAATGTGTAATGATGTAATATGTTTATTTCGGGTTGCGACAGTCGCAATGTCTGTGAATCAAATGTGTGGTATGAATTTTTTTTATTTTTAGTCGCTGGGGCCTGGTACTAGCGACTTTAGGCTTGCTCTTCAGTTTTTTGCTCTTAAAGTTTTTTCAGGCACAATTTGAGAAATTACGTAATCTTTCAGCTACTAATCGATTCTCTCACTGGGTTGCCATTTGTTCTGCCACCGCAGAGCAGGGCAGTGCCTTTATTATGTACATACAATAATAATATAGATGATTTTGTACTTTATTATGTACATACAATAATAATATAGATGTACATACAATAATAATATGATATCGCAGCCATTAAGAAAAGAAAGAGCAGAGCCTGGAAACAAAGTAGAAAAATCAACATGGCGGCAGATAGTAGCAACGTAAATGTTTATTTCTTGACGACTTTTTGCACACTTTCAAAGCAAAATTGTACGTGAATATAACAATTTAGGGTTATGGAGCACATAGACTAAAAAGGTTTGATTGCAAGCAATGAAAACAATTGGTGAATTTAAAAGCTCTATAGTTTTGTTTATATTTTTCGCTAAAAAACAGAGATGAAACGGGGGGAAAAACGAAAGACCAAGGTAGTGCCACAGACAACAGTATATTATTGCGTTGTAATGCACGCGCATTAGCCAATCAAATTGCATGTAATATCCCACTAATATCATAAAGCAGGATCATACTTAAATTACCACGCCTCCAGGAAGAACATTCCTTACTTTTTTTAATAAACCCGTTCAAGGAAGAACACGTCAAAATCAAAGCGTAAGCATTGTTAGTACAGATTTGCCATTGACTGATAATACCCTATATTCTCGTATCTAATTTCTATATGTATATTATTCTATTATATGTATATTATATCTACTTATAAACTAACAAATGTGTTACAGTGAAAATAAAAAAGTGTCCCACTTCCGCTTCTGTAGTTTGTTGTGATTTACTGTAATTTGTTCTGTTTTTCTGTAACGATAATACCGAATCATCGGCAAATACTGCGATAAACTTTAAATTTCGTACCTTTTATGTAATGAAACTAATGAAAAATATTTTATTTCCCTTTGCTACAAATTATCATATTTAAAAATAGAGAAAATAAGTTTTATCATGGTATTTACCGATAAATCGGTAATGGCTACAGCAAAAACAGAACAAACTGCAGTAAATCACAACAAACTACAGAAGCGGAAGTGGGACACTTTTTGTATTTTTACTGTAACATGGCCTAACTGGAAAGCAATCAAGCGTTATTCACACGTTAATAAATCTTTCTAAATTCTATATAAGTACTAATTATATCAGCAAATACACTTCAATTCATGCACAAAACTAGATGCGGTGCTTTAAGTCGTTTAGTTATTTCATAAGAAACTTTCAAAGGGATTAAAATTTCCATGGAAAGTAGCTTTACATTTCTTTTCCGGCAGCCTTCCGTGATTGGACTCAGACCACAGATCGTTCAACATGATTGTATTATATCACCATAAATATTGAAATACAGTAAAACAAGTTTACTTATCTCTACTTCAAGGTGTATTTGCCATTTTGCTGTGGTGTCAATCAGATTCAGACCGTCTGTGATATTTAAAATAGTTTTATTAATCGCCATGTTGTTCAGTTTATAATAGTATATAATGGCCATATTCAAATCCAAAACTAACCGTACCTAACTAACCGTACAAAAATCAATTAATTGTCGTTAATGTTCCACTTACGAATTTGCTGTGTTGGTATGTTTACCCTTGTGAAATTTGCCATCATTTAGGATGTTATTTAGCGCGTGGTGCCGATCATGAGTTACAGTAAAATCTTTCTCACTTAATAAGAGAAGTAGGAGACTGCCGCTCGCAGACGACACACATCATGTCCGCGACACTGTATTTGATCCCAAGGATAATTTCCGCGAGACTGCTTCTTTGCTTTTTGAAGAATTTATCATTGTGTCTACGCCACTTTCAAAATACGAAATCGTTACCGTGAGAAGTGTCAGCGTGTATTGAGATCAACTAACAACGAGTATATAGCCACTAAAATATGTAAAAGTAGGTTTAACTCACCGTTTAGAAGATGCGGATTGATCTATTCCATTTCTACAGAGAAAACATTCGCTTTACACAGCGTGTAGAATATTATTGCCTTGGTCATAAAAGAACTTCAAGGTTCTCTTTATTTCTTGGTGTTCAGGGAATTGCGACTTGATTCAAGGACGCACTTCCGTACTGGCAAATATCTCATGCAAAGAGAAACCGATTGCCAGATATACAAGTGCCTGACGTTCATGCAAATTGCTCGACAAATACAAAATGTTGGCGCAGTAAACTTTCGATAATCATTGTCGGTGGGTTGGGGGGAGGACTCGCCAACGGCAAAAATACATGAACTTGTGGTTAAAGCTCGACAACTGGCCTTTGCAGCTCAGCTGGTTAGAGCGCTGCACCGGAATAACAGGGCCGCAGGTTCAATTTCTACCAGAGGGCGTATAGTTGTATTTTTTCGCAACTGCACTTAGTTAGGTCTTAAGCCGGTTTCCCACGTGCGAAATATTTCTCGCGAAGCGTGTTTTTTCGCCTTTGCGCATGCATGTTTTGTCATATACGCAATTGTTATATGGTGCGAAAAGTCGCAAGCTGTTCGCTGCGGCGAGCCAGTATAGGAGTTGAAATGGTTTCTAACTTTTCGCGACGAATTAAATCTTTAGGCAATCAGATTTCAGAATTTTTATCTATCTCGTCTGTCATTTTTTAAAATGGCCGCAAACTGCCTAAAAGAGTTAACCAAGGTGAAGGAAAAGAGAAAAATAGTGAAAAAATTTATTACAGATAGAAATGTGGCAAATATAACAGGCTATAGTTACAACTAACATACTAATTTAGGTATTTATTTTTTTAACTTATGACATTTTTCAATGTTCGCATTGTCAACCACAATGCATTTGTTTAGCTACATCTTACCTTCGGAAGTGACAAATAGCAACAAATGACGATTAGGCCTATAAACATTTCTTTGGTGCAATTTTAGTATAAAAAAGTTAAAATGAGCAAATATAACCATAGGATGGTAGTAATATATTATGGATTGAAAACCGAAACATCTATATTCCGCCATTAAAATGGCCGCCAAGCAGGTTTGGGCGCACAGTGCATTGTGGTTGACAATGACATAATTCTACTATATTATACTACCTATATTATGTATTTAAAATAGAAAATTCTGTATTCTGTACACTTGGCCAATTTCTGTGCAATATCTAGTTGAATACAAACATTAATTAATTAATTAATGGGCAATTCCAGCTATAGACTAAATTTTGATCTAGGCAAGAAGAACAAAATCCATCACCACACCTAGAACGACCATGTTAAAACTATTGATTTCAGACCGTCTGTCAGTCTGTGACAATTAAAACAATTTTATTAACCGCCATGTTGTTCTGTCTATTATTATTGATTTATGGCCATATTTAAATCCAACAGGCAACACTATCCGTACAATGTTTCCAATGTCACTAATGTTTCACTTACGAGTTCGCTGTGTTGATATGTTCATCCTTGTGATATTTGCCGTTATTCGGGATATTATTTACCATGTAGTGCCGAGTTGAAATCTCTCTCTCACTTAATAAGAGAACAGGAGACTGCCGCTCGCAAACGTACGGCAGACATCCCCGACACTGTATTTGATCCGCGACACTGTATTTGATCCCAAGGATAGTTTCCGCGAGAATGTTACATTATTTGTTGTGTTTGCGCTAGCCTACATTCAAAATGCGAACTCCAAAATGGCCGCTACTACCGTGAGAAGTCGGCCTGTATTGAGGTCAACCCGCAACGAGTATATAGCTACTAAAATATGCAAAAGTAAGTTTAACTTACCGTTCAGAACGTGCAGATTGATGCATTCCATTTCTACAAAGTTAAAGGTTGCTTTACACAGCATGTAGAGTCTGTATACTATTATTAGTGTCTTGGACAATAAAGAATTTCAAGGTTCTCTTTATTTCTCGGGTTTCTGCGTACTGTATTTATATAGTGAATTGATTCAAGGACGCACTTTCGTACTGGCAAATTTAAATATCTCGAAGGGAAACCGATTTGAGAATTTATCCTTTAAAACAGGAATGCAAATTGCCCGACAAATACAACACTTACCTGCAATTTCTTCTAGTTTCCTTTTCAAACTTCAAAAATTATCAAACTGTAAGCCACATTTTGTTGTTTGAGACTATGTGCACACGGTAACGTTTCAAGCGTTTTCATTTGTGTTTTCACGCAAAAACGGATGCAAACACTATCAATTTACAACCAGTGTTTACAACAGAAGCTGTATAGTTTAATATATTGGAGATATTTTCCTTTGGACCATGTGAACAGGGCGTCAAAACGATTAATGGGACAAAAACGTTTTTGAAAACGCTGGAAAACGACGCCCGTGTGCACATAGCCTTAATAAAAGTCCGTTTTTCCTGAATCAGGTTGCGTCTTGTTCAAATTCAATCAGTTTCTGAAAACCCTTGCCGTTAACAATGCCATTACAACTTGTTGGCAGTTTGGTACAGATTTGTGAACACAGTCACAAGCTTGCTGGAACGGACTTGTTACAACCTGACGATGATATGGCTTGTTGTCAACAAGCTCGGTACAAGTATTTCCATCAACTTGTACCAGTCTTGAACAGTCAAACATTTTACCGATACAGAGTTATGTATAAACTAGGCAAACTACCCTACCAACAGCTACCGAGCGGATATGACGATTTCACCGACACCCCTTAGCCAATCAAATGTCTTAAATTATTTTCAATAAATTGATTGAATTCTAACCAAAATAAAAAGAATATTACCTGTGCTGTACTGTAGGTGTAACCTCAGAAATGCAATTATATGTACATCCATCTTAATAGTTCAATCAAGGGCGTATGGTTTAATTGTCTGGGCGGCCAGCAGCATTCTCTTCCGGGAAAAACATTTCTATGTTTAGGGTCTTCGAAACCCTATCCCATGCAGATATTTTATGTCATATATATTTATTGTCATATTCTCAGTTTTGAAAGAATTACAAAATCTATATAGACTGTATAGATCTAGATCGCCTTAGTGGTGCCTTCTTTTGGCATCAACCTAGTTCTGACAGTAGTGTTACTATCATTGGCATTTTGTACATTGTGGACAGCTACCCTATATATTAAATTTTGCTGATATAGTGTTACGAGCCGGTCCTTACTATTTTATTTGGCCGTACTTGTTGGTCCTATTTTCAAAGATTGTGAAACCAATTACTTTCAATGATATATTTATTTTCTTACTTATACTGTTATAGTCTTATATATTACTCAATAATTAGCGTCTCTATAACTTTCCCTAATATATATATATATATATATATATATATATATATATATATATATATATATATATATATATATATATATATATATATATATATATATATATATATATATAATTCTTAATATTGTTCAAACTTATCTCTTTTCACTCACGACTCTTCAATTCCTGACAATTCTTTATCTTTAATATATTCGCCTTTGTATAATCCTTTTAATTCTTTCTTTAACTTATAGTTTCGCTATATGTCTTCACGGCAATGTTATTCAGGCTTTCGCCTTTTGAAATATGCACGAATTGTCTAGTTGTGCTCAGGCTTTTATATACGCTCTGATAGGGGAAGAAACTACAAAACTACGACTCATTTCCCCTACGCAATACATTTCGTTGAAGCAAGTTTGAGTAAACCACAAATCGGCCAACGCCAAACCGAGTCATATCCGCTACGTTAATTGTGGGACATCTTAATTTTTAAAACTATTTGCTTGCTCATGCATGTAAGCTATTTAATATGAATAGAAGTATATAGTATAATAATATTTATTTATATGGCTTTTCAAAATTCTCTATTCTGATTGGTTGACAAGCGGTCCGTAAAAACCCATATGCGGACCGTGGTCCGTATATTCCGTATCTGGACCGGTGTCCCGGATGTCGTTTATCTGGCGGGAAAATTTTGCTTTGCAAACAGAAAAAATTTTTGCTTTTTAATTTTCCAATTGTGTGTAATTAAAATTTACAGAGAAAAATTTCAAACAACCAAATTATTTTTGATTCAGCATGCATGCCTACCATATATTGTCACACAGGGAAACTGACGATAGCCGATTAAAGCCGCGTTCACACCAGCGGCCCAGGCCTGGCCTGGACCTGGCCTTGACCTGGCCTGGGCCAATTGTGATGCATTCACACTGGCTTGACGCCCAACTCCAGGCCAAAGCAATCAGGCGTCAATCTAAACGTCCTTGTGTTCCACTAAAGTATTTAATTTCGCGCTTTGAATGTTTTTCCCTCCAATTGTATGGCAATCATCTGACCAGTTTTTATCGTGGGCAGATATTGCGATGGTAACGGGGCCTCGCCCAGGCCAGGCCCAGGAAAAACCCGTTCACACCAGTGATGATCGAGGCCCAGGCCAAGGCCAGGTCCAGGCCACCTACATTTGCTGGCCTGGATTTCTTAATTCGCGCGAAAAGCATATGCTCACAGACTCAGTTCAGCCATATAATAAACTGATTATTGACCTCGCTTGTTCGGTCTGTACTGTGAAATATCAGACCTCTGTTTCTTGCATGGACCTCGTTTCATCGTCGCTCGATCCATACTAAAAAACCTCGGTTTGATATTTCACAGTACAGACCTCACACGCTCGGTCAATAAGCCGTTAATATATGTAAAATAACATGATATTGCTTATCATGTAACAATAGACACAAGAAGTGATTGTACCCAGTGATCGTGACGAACCTAGCACAAAATAATTTGTCATGTAACTATTTTGAGCGGCGAGGGCGCTAGCCATCTATAGAGGTCCGGGGGCTTGCTCCCCCTGGAAAAAAGTATATATGCATTGCTCTCAAAAAGTATATGCTGTATAATACATTTAAGCGAGCAGTATCATTTTCGTAGCCGATTTTGAGAATTTAACGCTCAAACGTCACGAGAAATATGCGCATATTTATGCCAATAGCTACAATTTTCCAACTTCAAATTAAATTCTTTAACTCAAAACCTGTTTGAAAATTTTGCATTTTTAGTCCAACATAGTAATTTACTCGCCAAAATTTTAAATACTCAAATTTTCGGCTATCTGGTTACGAGATTCCTATCAAGCCAAAATCACAGGTTCCAACATATATGGTCTTGTTCACCAATGTTTTGGCTATAAGAAAATGCCAGTTGGCAGCTTGTAAAAAAAATGCCACCAGAGTGCGACTTCCAGAGAGTTGGCCGGTCCTTTAATATACATCGTGATGAAGAACATTCAAAGAAAACCGACTCGACAATCACATAAGGTCGTTTGCAAATTCGTAGATAATTATAACTATGTCAAAAAATTTAATTTACTTAATTCTCCAATATTATTACAAAGCATCTGTTAAAAGACAGAGTAAAACATGACTGATTTGAACTGGCTAAAAAAGTGGGCAAATTACATCATGCATGTTCTCTAACAGAAATTCTGATGTTAATTGGTTATTATAAGTCACTTTATCGTGTTCTTTTATAACTTGTATTTACTCGAACCATCAGTGTTACTATAGATATAACGTCACTACAACTTGTTATTTTGTTCTTGCTTCAAGAATTTTTGCTCTGTAGATCGAGTGATGATTGACAAACTTTCTTTCGACTTCGTATAAATTCCAGTTGGTCATAACAGTCGCTTGTAGCTTCGCTATTCTGTCCAAAAAGTTTTAACCTGATATCAAGTGCCTGCTGACATGACTCCAAAGCAGAATCATAATCTTGCATTTTGCACTGACATTGTGCAATGCAGTGGTAGCTTGTAGCGGAGTCTGGGTGTTCCTTTCCATACAGCGCCACGCTAATATCCAGGACTTGCTGGTGCCAATGCAGAGCTGAATCGTACTCTTTCAAGCAATACTTTGTCATTCCAATCTGATTACAAGCGAAGGAAACGTCTGGGTGGACTTTCCCATGCAGATTTTGTCTGATATCAAGAGCTTGCTCGAACGATTGCAGTGCCGACTTGTAATCTCCTTTCTCAAGTTGGGCTCTTCCAATCTGGTAATAGCTCTCGGCGGTATCTGCATGGTTGTGTCCATAAAGCTTTAGCCTGATATCAAGTGCCTGTTGATGTGACTCCAAAGCAGAATCATAATCTTGCATTTCGTACTGACATTGTGCAATCCTGAAGTAGCTTGAAGCGGAGGATGCGTGTTCCTTTCCATACAGCGCCACTCTAATATCCAGGGCTTGCCGGTGCCAATGCAGAGCTGAATCGTACTCCTTCAAGCGATACTTTGTCACTCCAATGTGATTACAAGCGAAGGAAACGTCTGGGTGGACTTTCCCATAAAGATTTTGTCTGATATTAAGTGCTTGCTCGAACGATTGCAGTGCTGACTTGTAATCTTTTTTCTCAAGTTGGGGTCTTCCAATCTGGTAATAGCTGTTGGCGGTATCTGCATGGTTGTGCCCATAAAGCTTTAGTCTGATATCAAGTGCCTGTTGATGTGACGCCAGAGCAGAATCATAGTCTTGCATTTCGTACTGACATTGTGCAATACTGTAGTAGCTTGAAGCGGAGTCTCGGTGTTCCTTTCCATTCAGCGCCACGTTAATATCCAGGGCTTGCCGATGCCAATGCAGAGCTGAATCGTACTCTTTCAAATGATACTTTGTCACTCCAATGTGATTACAAGCGAAGGAAACGTCTGGGTGGACTTTCCCATAAAGATTTTGTCTGATATCAAGTGCTTGCTCGAACGATTGCAGTGCTGACTTGTAATCTTTTTTCTCAAGTTGGGGTCTTCCAATCTGGTAATAGCTGTTGGCGGTATCTGCATGGTTGTGCCCATAAAGCTTTAGTCTGATATCAAGTGCCTGTTGATGTGACGCCAGAGCAGAATCATAGTCTTGCATTTCGTACTGACATTGTGCAATACTGTAGTAGCTTGAAGCGGAGTCTCGGTGTTCCTTTCCATTCAGCGCCACGCTAATATCCAGGGCTTGCCGATGCCAATGCAGAGCTGAATCGTACTCTTTCAAATGATACTTTGTCACTCCAATGTGATTACAAGCGAAGGAAACGTCTGGGTGGACTTTCCCATAAAGATTTTGTCTGATATCAAGTACTTGCTCGAACGATTGCAGTGCTGACTTGTAATTTTTTTTCTCAAGTTGGGCTCTTCCAATCTGGTAATAGCTGTTGGCGGTATCTGCATGGTTGTGCCCATAAAGCTTTAGTCTGATGTCTAGAGCTTCGTAATGACATGTCAAAGCGGCGTCATAGTCGTTCTGCCTCAGTAGAATATTTCCAATGTTATAGTACCTTGCGGCTGTATGCGAGTTTAGCCGACCATATTCTCCTATAAAATTATCAAGAGCGAACTGCATCGCTGCTGGACTCTCTTGATCCATTTTTACTTTTGCCAGGGTGCTTTCATCGATGAAGAGTAGTGGCAAGTATAGACGGTCGTTGTGTGCTTCGGCTTCGATTTTTTTCTTTAACTGCGAGATTGGCAAACCAAGTTTATAGATTACCTCCTCCATGTCATTGTTTTTCGCAATGTGGTATATGAGAAGTGTAAGCGCCAAAATGAGTGGTTGACTTAAAGCTTTTGGGTTTTCATTCTCTTTCTCGTCAGCGCAATCGCCTTCTTGTATAGCTTTGACGAAAGCATACAAGGTTGGTTTATCAGCGCATTCAGTTAAAACAATGTTCCAATAGTAGGAAGACTTATCTGCGTGAAGAGTAATCAAAGCAAGAATCTGGGAGCATAAAACCTTAAGTACAGTATTTTCAGAACTCAAAAGAGATATCCCTTTTTCAAGAGTTTCGCCTCCTTTCGCTTTCGCTTCCGCTTTACATATTAGCAGGTGAATACCAACGTAACACATTCGTTTTCCCACGACAGCTTCTGAAATAAGAAGAGGATTTTGCTTCTCTATTTCTTCGGCCTCTTTCAGTAATGCCAATGTAGCTCCATCATAAAAGGCTATTTGACTAAAAGCTTTAGCAATTAGCAGTTGGTGGACAGCTCTAAATTTACTTCGCACTCTTGCCTTGGCTATTGCAAAATCATAAATTTTCTGCAACATCCAATAATGCTCAAAGTAGAAAATGGTGTCTAAAAACAGATCCACATCAGAAAGAACATCGAAAATTGCGTCGCACACAGCCTCGTTTTGAAGACCTTCGCAAAGACTATGTACCATATTCTCCTTGTTAAATTCGAAATCGTGGAATGCAAGGAGAGAATTTCCAGCAAGAAACTGGTTGTTTAAATCTTTAAATAACTGGACGTAATACCTCAGGAATCGCCTTTCTGCTTCGCGAGCAATTTCTTTCATGCCAGCTGCTCTTTCGGAACTAAATGACTTGATCAGAGGATGAAAAGAAAACAGTACTGATTCGGAGGAATTTCCTTCAACCAAATATTTTCTCTTGAGCCTCAACAAAGTTTTCTTTGCTGTGTCTTCATCTCCTCCAATGACCGTTACTGCAGCTTGCTCGTCAAACACTTCACTGACAAATACTGAAAGACAAACAAATGCTTCTTGCTCTTCTCGAGATAGTCTTTTGAAATAAGACTCGAACAAGACATTCAAACGTTGATCATTAGGCGCATCTGGATCGTCTAACAACTTTACTACCGGTGTTGATGAACGGCTAAAGTGGTCAAGGAATTGAGATATACTCTCCTTCTCGTCAACGATTTGACCGCACAAAAGCTTGATGGCCAGTGGAACGTCTCCACAAACCTCAGCCACTCTGCAGCATTCACTTTCATCAGCAGCGGAGAAAAGTTTTTGAACAAGCATTTGTGCCGATTTCCTGTCTAGCGATGCAACCCCGAGGGACACGTGAGCGCCAAATTTTCTTCCCAGCACCGACTGAAGACTCGTTCTTGTAGACAATAGAAAGGACACATTCTTGCAATGAGAAAAGATCTTTTCGAGCAGGTCTAAAACATCTTGGCTCGTTTCACCACTACTCGCAAAAAGGTCATCGGCGTTATCGAGGATGATACAAATGTTGGAAGGAATTGCACTGAGGAGTCCGCACAGTTTTGAACGCCCTTGCCCCGTTACATCAGACGACGTATGTGCAAAGGTGTTTAACAGGTCAGAGATCAGCTCTTCCATTGTCTTGACGCTTCTCAAGGAAAGGAAATAAACTGGTAGTCCGAGCTGTCTAAGTTGGTGTCCTACTGCAATTGCTAACGAGGTTTTGCCAAAACCAGGGGGTCCAGATACAGAGACTAGCCGAGCAGATGTGGACGTCAACACACGCGAGATTTGTTCACATTCTTGTTGTCGACCAATGAAATAGGGCACCATGGGAGGAAGACAGGGCTTGGGCACGGACTTGTCAAACACTGTGGTGAAATATAAAAAATATGGTTAAACTACAGGCGTTATTTGCTAGTAGGCTTAGAGCAAAAGAGCTTAAAGCAACGAAGCACCTTATTGCCTTTGATAGTTACAAAAAGTGTCGTTTTACCCATTACGGGGTGGACATACATTCTCATGAACATGTCCACAGAGTGTGCATTTTGCTTTATAATTAAACTTTAAAATTCAAGGTACTTTTATATATAAATAAGATTCAGAGAAAGATTTAATTAGTTCTGTGCACGGCTTGACTGCCAAGCTTTCTCGAGGTCTCAAGTTGCTGGACGCGGATATTAGGGATATACTTTATTAAAACGGGCTAACAATAGCAACAAATGCCAACAATGAAATTCTCAATCGTACCACGAAGAAGGCGATGTAGCTCAGAAAACAACGCCGGTAGGACCTGATATTAAAAATAAGACTTTTGCCGGCGAAGCCAATTGGCAGAATACATGACTTAGTTTGGCTTTTTTTTCGGCGTCGTGTGTCCAAAATTCGTCCAAGATTTTGATAAAGCCCTTTCAAAATACTGTTTGTTTGATTTATTTTCTGCCATAAATCATAAAAGAAAAAGAAATTCGAAGAAATCGATAATGGATTTGTACGTGCGTTTGACCTATATATTAATTGTCGCCTTTACCGAGCTATTTTTAAAACTGTTGTTTATGTAAACTTGCAACCAATCAAAATCCTTCATGATGCTGATCAACCAATCAGATTTCCCGTCCACCAGATCGACGGGAATCCCACACTTTAGATAGGTTTTGTGTCAGGCCCTATTCTGTGATTAGGGCCTGAACTTCAGGTTAGTTCCGAACACGTTCCAAACGCGTTCCGAACGCGGTCGGAACGCGGTTTGAACGCGTTCCAGAGGAAACTTGGAAACGCGTTCCCCACTTTGGCTAAAAACCGCGTTCTCGCATCGGAAAATCCCGACACCGAATGAAACATGGGATACTCTAGGTTTTGACAGTTGACCACTATGAACAATTAATATCAAGATTCATCTCCGGCAGAAACACCAGTCCGGTTTGACCCAGAAAACTCGAAACAGAAACTGAAACTGAAACTCGGCACAGTCCGGGCAGCATGTAATAGTTTTAATGGCTTTGTTTAGCGTGTTTGTTTCAACCGTATATGTAACCATAAACACACAAATCAAATAGCCGAAAATGCTTCAAATATCGATCGTGTCTTTCAACCCGAGCTAGAAAGGTCTGTACGTGTTGTGCACAGGCTACATTTGAGCAATTTAAAGTGCTTATGTCACAAAAAATGTTTTTTGATATTTGATAGAGGACAAAAAGTTAGTTAATAGGTTCTTTAACATTTTTCGGTTTTCTCTTTTCATTCGCGAGATACGAGGCTCTAAACAGCGATTTTCGTAAAATTGTTGCGTATCAACAAGAGTCTGGGACGAGCGTGGTGTGACGTAGCTTAAGGGACTTAATTTCGACGCGCATTATACATTTGATATATTTTCCAGCATGTCAGGCAGTAGCTCGGATTCGGAAAGCACTCATAGTTCTCAATGTGACTCAGAATACAATTATATTCCTGGATATATTATAGAGGATGAATCAAATGATACTAGTCACGAAATTGGAACTCTAGAAGCAGTTGATAGCGAAATTTTAGGCGATTATGATGCATGCCTTTATGCCGATGAACCGCTAGCCGGCGGAGAATGGTACGCACGATATTTCAGAAATTCAGCAGAACACAAGCAACAAAAAGAGATGCTACAGCGAAGATTAGATGGCCTTGAAGATATTAAATAATGGTGAGTGTAAACATAGATTTATTTTAACATTTTAACGTAAAATATAAAGTATCTCTGGCTAATATATTTTGTGGGATACGGGCTCATATGGCATCAGTCACAACAAAGAGTTAAAACCACACTTCCCTCACCTTCGCAAGAAAATACAAGACACGAGATCAAAGAAAATATAAACAGACTGGTTCAGAGCAAATTACGTATATATTCTTGTTTGAAGCTACAGTGTTTCTCTGTGATCACGTTTATTTAATACGAACGATTGAACGATTGTATTTTCTCGCAAGTTCAATTCTTAAAGCCCATTTTTCCAAACAAATAGGTCTGAATCCCGAGTGTAGCTAGAGTGATACAGCACGGCGGCTGTGGCACATCTTCTAAAACGAAGTTATCCTTCAGAACATCCCTACAAGATTCCATCTCCTGACAGCACCAAGCTTCGTGTGTATATTGTATAATATGTATTATCACACAATCGCCGCATTTACACTTGTGAAATATGATACAGGTGAGGGTTTGATGTGACTGATGCCGTATCAAAAATATATCAGCCAGAGATACTTATTTTACGCCGTTAAAATGTTAAATAAATCTATGTTACGCTCACCATGATTTAATATATTCAAGGCCGTCTAATCTTCGTTCTAGCATCTCGTTTTGTTCCTTGGGTTACGCAAAGTTTTAAATATCGCGCGTAGCTTTTATCGCGCGTAGCATTCTTGGCTCGCTAGCGGCTCATCGGCATAAAGACAATATGCATCATAATCGCCTAAAATTTCGCTATCAACTGCTTCTAGAGTTCCAATTTCGTGACTAGTATCATTTGATTCATCCTGTATAATATACCTAGGAATATAATTGTATTCTGAGTCACATTTAAGAACCATAAGTGCTGAAACACATATGTCTTCCCAATAGCTTTTTAGTACTCCTTCACATGTGAATTCGAACTTCCGTCCCTTAAGCCACGTCACACGGGTCTCGCCCCAGACCCTTTTCCGGTTTTTTCTCGGGCGCGACAATTTTTCGCTAAAAGCCAATTTTTCAAGGTTTAGAGCCTCATATCTCGCGAATGAAAAGAGAAAACCGAAAAATGTTAAAGAACCTATTAACTAACTTTTTGTCCTCTACCAAATATCAAAAATAAATTTTTGTGACATAAGCACTTTAAAGACCATGTAAAGTCCGTTCTGCGCATACTTTCTGCGCATTGTTATTGTTTACGTTTCCTAATATGATTTTTACATGACGTATTTCCATTCTCTATGCTGTCGTCTATATTTCCTTCCTTCGGCTTCGCGTGAGGCGTGCATATCATGAATATGAATGAGAGTTTTGATAGTTTTTATGATCTGGATCAATTCGAACTGGAAGAGGCTGCGCAAATCCCGAACAAGGATGACATAACCGTGTGTTCTTGCAGAGGGATGTGTCTAAAGGAGAGTGGGCGAAATGCATGTCCTTGTAAGACAATGGGCCAGTATTGCACATCTGCTTGTCATGCTGACAGCGATATTGTTTGTATGAATTCGAAAGAATATCTGGCCAGTGACTCGAGTGAGCAGTCGAGCGGTTCGGAATTCATTGGGGAATTGTCGGTAAGTTCTATTTAATCGCGAATTGTTTTCGGTATGCTTTGCAAAACATGTAAATTTACCGTATTTTATATAATATTCGCAGGAGACTTCAGAACATGGCGATCTCACTGATCTGGACGACAATGAAACATTATTTCAGCCAAGCACATCAAGAAGAGGTGCGAGAACACGAGGCCGCCGTGTAAGAGCTCGCGGACGAGGCAGGGGAAGAAGCAGAGGAACAGAACGCAGCAGGAGTAGAGAAAAAGCGCCAAGTCGAAGAGGAATGTCTAGGGGTAGAGGCAGAGGCAGGGGCAGAGGCAGGGGTAGAGGCAGGGGTCGTAATACTCTTGTCCCAGAAGTCGATCAGGAGCAAAGATTGGTCAATCATGAACAGCAGTTACAGGCATGTATAAATATGTATTAAACTGATTCATATAATATAAACTTATCATGCTATGTGCATGTTTCTGTTTTAAATTGTTGATTAATGGTTTATATGACTTCCAACAAGCAAATGATGTACCTTTTTAGAATTTGGTTGACAATCTTGACGTTGAAGTTTTAAGGAGGCTAGCTGCTGAGTTACTTCGAAGACAACCAGCAGTTTTTGCTGATTTGGTAAATGGGGAGCTACCGGATGAGCCGCAACCTGGTGTTGAGCACCCACAACCTGACCCTGACCAACCACAACCTGCTGAAGCACCGCAACCTGCTGCAGGGGTACCAGAACCTGACCCTGAAGCACCACAACCACCTGTAGACGGACCACCAGATTGGTGTCATTGTGGGCACTGCCGAGTTATGCCAACACAGGCAGAGAACAAGTGTTGCTGCCAGAGAAGATCACAGTGTACTTCAACATTAGACGTTTTTCAGTTGATTGTACTGAATGGGAATGTGTTGGATATTGCCATGAGATATCGTGAGGATGTTCTTGCTTTAGACCATCCTCGAAATAATGAAAACTTTAGGCACATGGCATACAGACAGTTTGTTTTATGGCAGCATGGACGTTTGGGACAAGGTAATCGACGAGTTGTCCCCAGTTGCTGTGTCCTTGCAATAAGGGCAAGATATCCATCTCCAAATGGAATGTACACTGGATACCGCCCAACGAGACTGTAGTATTTACAGTGGCATATCCAGCCTGATGATCTAATCCCGCCATGCAAATATTGCCATGTTTATAAACTATCAACACAATAAATTTCTAAAAAATGAATTAGTTGAAATTTGCATAGCGGGAGTAAATAGTTGGGCTGGCTGGCTATGCCACTGAGTATTTATGTAATATATCTAGCCATACCAAAAGGTCATGCTATGCAAATTGTTACTCATTTGCACTATTCAAACCTTTAGAAATGTAAATATTATTTAGATGCAAATGTCTCATTGCAAATTAATTTTAACTACCCTATTTCCTGCACTGTGTGATCTAGCATTACATAATGACATGCATCTAATAGTGACAAGTTGATGCTTGTAAAATAACAATGCATGGCAACCTTCATAAAACAAAAAATTTAAACAGAGAAGCATCTAGACAAGGATTGCCATATTTTGTTGTTATAATAAATTATCATGTATTATGTAGCACAACAGCTTTGTTTTAATCAACAGCAAAGCATTTCAACATTTGATTCTTAAATTAAATTAGCACTACTATTGTACAATATTCCTCATGATTCATATACCTTTATTAATAGTTTAAATCCTTACTATGTGCTACTCTCTTAAAATAAAGTTTCTTTTGTTTCTATCTATTTACTTAAGATTCATTGACAAGTAAAATCATCTGGCGTTTGGCAGAGTAAATGGTAAAGTTGGGGGCGTATTGCTTGCTAACCCTATAAGTGGCAATGCGCCATATTTTAGTATTTTACGGTCTAACGCCAGATGATTTTACTCGTTGATGCTTGTAAAATAACAATGCATGGCAACCTTCATAAAACAAAAAATTTAAACAGAGAAGCATCTAGACAAGGATTGCCATATTTTGTTATGTTATAATAAATTACCATGTATTATGTAGCACAACAGCTTTGTTTTAATCAACAGCAAAGCATTTCAACATTTGATTCTTAAATTAAATTAGCACTACTATTGTACAATATTCCTCATGATTCATATACCTTTATTAATAGTTTAAATCCTTACTATGTGCTACTCTCTTAAAATAAAGTTTCTTTTGTTTCTATCTATTTACTTAAGATTCATTGACAAGTAAAATCATCTGGCGTTTGGCAGAGTAAATGGTAAAGTTGGGGGCGTATTGCTTGCTAACCCTTTAAGTGGCAATGCGCCATATTTTAGTATTTTACGGTCTAACGCCAGATGATTTTACTCGTTAAGTGGAGAGTGCTGCCACTCAATGGATTAATTAACCAAACAAACTGCCCTGTGCATCCTCTTAACCTTTTAAGTGACAATGCACCCTACTTTTAGTACTTTACTGTCTGATGCCAGACAATTTTACTCATTAGGTAAAGACTGCTGCCACTCAATGGGTAAACACACAGGACACATTTGAACATGGGCGGATTTACTGGGGGGGGGAATCTCTCTAAGTATCCTAATCCCTCTTACAGTATAAAGCTCGATCAGCGGTGCCGCTTGCACCCCACCAGAAATTTTCTACCCCTCCTTTAAAAAAAATGAAAATCCGCCCTTGCATTTGAAGTTAGTTTTGTTAACATGTGTTGATAAGAATGTTTAGTCCTGTAACCTCATCCAAACATTTACAGTGGTTGAAGAAATCAATACACTATGTGGTGTAAACTTGGTTCCAGTCCGTCTCTCCAATGGTCTAAAATAGCATGGATTGCGAGTTAACAGTAACACGAAAATTTTTGCACCCTTGCAAGTGTGTCTCATACCCTTTAAAAGGCGGACTTGAACCAAGTCTACTATATATTGGTGAATAGCACAAGCAATTTTTAAAAACGAGACTGCTGACTTTGCAATGCTTCCTGTAGGGTTGGTCGTGGTACTGACGCGATATTTGGGGCTATGTTCCGTGGATCATCTGCTGACCTGACCAATCGTTGTGTAACAGGTCCTTGAACATCAACTCTCTTTCGGAAAACATTAATTAACAACTCAGGAATGTACGCATATTCCTTGGGCTCCAAAACATTCACAGGTTGCCATACCTTTGTTCTTTTCGAATAATGTAATCTCATGCTGTAAAAAAAGTTTATTGTGAGAATGTGAGATACAATTTTTTATCATAATTGGTATGATACATGTATAAAAATAATGCTGAACGTACTGTACCTTTGCTCACCAAGAACATTAGTAGCTGGCTTTCGTACTCTGTGCTTGTTGAAATCAATTGCAGCAAGCAGATTCCTCAGTTTGTACCCAACAAATCTGAAAGGAAATTCGTATTCCATGATTCATCAAAAGTTTACTGTATTTACTGATACAACATACAGTGTATACAGCATTTCAGTACTAATTCAATTCAACATACTGGGCTTTCACAACAACAACTGTCAACAGTACTTACGAGTAGGAGTGGCGCTTAGGACAGTACATCAGCAGATGATTGTGGAATGATTCCAAAAAACCAGTATGCCTACAAAGGAAAAAAAAAACACTTGTGTCATTAGGCCTTTTAAATTAGTCAAAAGAGATTCCTCAGTCATTGATGGATATATTGCAGTAATTACACTAGACAGTGAAATGATAAAAACTTGGCTATCATTGAAATGTACGAACAAAAATTATAAAGGTACATTCGATAACTCATTTAGTGACAAGGCGCTTATTTATAAACATTTGATCAAGTTTGCATAACACCAGGGTAATTGAGATTATTTATGTCTCCTGCTTCATGCTAATGCATGGTTGCATCTTAAAACTCACCTAAAACGAGTATAATATGGAAATGTGTTCAAGAAACGCTTCTTCAACACAATCTGGCGCAGAGAATTCTGAGGAGAAGAGTTCTTGGTAAGCCATGGCTTTTGCCTCTCTTCTTCTGTGAGAACACCATGGCCACATTTTCCTTCACCTTTGCCGTCACTAAGTACCCATGTGTGCTCATTTACAACGTGATGTAGAATGCCAGCCCATAAGTGCTATTCAACCAAAAAAAATATTTTAATTAACTGATTACTGCACATTGACAATATAAATTGTTCAATGTACGATTCAGAACATTTGACTTTGCTGAATGACAGCGCAACTGTTTTTCATTAAGGCGTCAGACATTGAGTTCATTATAAAATGATGACAATTGCATGTGCAGTAATCACAAATTAGGATAATCACTATTATGACTGACATAATGACTAGCTTATTATGATTACTTTCTTGAGTTCCCTTTAACTATGAAATATGAACAAAAAATTAAAGCTTACTTTGAAGTCCTCTGTGTTGCGACCACACTCCCGACTACAATACCAAAAATGGTTGCGTACTGAACTAACCCATGGTACAAGTTCGTCATTTCCTTTTTCTTTGCTAGCCTATATACAGAACATCAAAGATAGAAATCAGTGTCATATATAGTGTATTAACAATAGTTTGATGCAGTGCCGTAGCCACAACGATAATTGGGGGGGGGGCACATATTCATATATTTGTGTTCTGCTTTATTAATTTCCTTTGAAATCTATTGTTTTTATGGTATGTGAACACAAATATATGAATATGTCCCCCCCCCCCCAATTATCATTCTGGCTATGGCACTGGTTTGATGAGATCATTCATTGAAATTTATCCTGGTACAGAATTAATGAAACCACAAATAACACCTTTATATAGCAATTGAAACATCATTGCATCAGAATTTTAATTGAACAATTTAGCACCGGTATCATTCTGTGTATTAAGCTACAAGTGAATATTATCAAAACCATTTGTCCAGTTCAAACAAATCAAGTATCTTAGTGGCTACAGTACTTACTGCAATAACTTTCTTTCCAAGGTTCTTACCACCATGCCAAACATCCCATTGGTGAACAATATCTTTATATTTAACTGAATTCTCTAAATAATTATACAATCAATATAATATTTGAAGATAATAAATTGGAATATCACATCACATTCAGAGTTAGTAATGGTCTAAATGGTAACCACAATTTGTAGAACCCATTATGAACTGGCAATAAGCTGAGATTGTTCATTTCTTTGGTATTCTATACTCATCAATGATCAATGGTAGGGTACTAGTTATCAGTAAATGGGTTAATATTATAAGTCAAACACGTCAATTTATAATATTTAACTAATTAATTAACCCATTAAGTCGCATTCCAACCTGATGCGCCCTACTTTATTATTTTCCTCTGTCTAATGCCAGATAATTTCACTTCTCAAGGGGAGAAAACTGGCACTTAATGGGTTAATCAACAGTTGAATATACTGGTGACTGGTCAAATGCCTTAATTAGCATGACATATATATACTTTTGTATGTAATGTCAATGATCACATAAGCTGATAAAAAACCCAAATATGGTCGTTGAAGCATCAAGAAGTGTATTTTGTCTTTTATAAGCTTGCATGATTATTACAAACACATTGATACATTTGTCTCAACATAATGGCTGTTTTGGCTCTAAAACATAAAACAATGGATACAAGATTTGTGATCAACCATACATTCTAATCATAATTATTTCTTAATTAATATTTCAATTGTAACATACTCATCATTGCACTGATTCCCAGATGACCATCTGTGACAAGTTCCTCTATTTTCATGGTTGAAGTCAGCAACTCGTCAAGCCCTCTCTCAAAACCGACTCTTTCCATATTCGTGCTTTTTCTCCCCTCGACTTCTCTAACTTCCACAATATTCAAATTTAATATGGTTTTTGACTCCATATCTGCAAAAGAATATGTTAGGTATTGTGTACAATGACCAGGAGAGTCATTGCGCCAATCAGAACTGAGAATAATTTCTTTCCCTTCCCTTTCTTTCCATGCTTCGTCTTTCATTTCTTTCCAATATTCCTCAACAGTGGGAGCGATGTATAAGCTCTGATATTGATTATACAACATCTTGGATATGTATGTCATATTCATGACCTTGAAGAGGAAGCCAATTTTGGTGTATGAATTACCAGAAAGAGCAATTGCTGCCGCCAACAACAAATTCCCTGCCCGAAGACCAGCACAAGTCGGTTGAGAGGCCCACCTTCCACCAAAATGCCCTGCATGACACTTCCAGGTAACCACAAGACATGTGCCACGATATGTTTCTTGGAATTCAAGTAGTTCGTCACATCCAGGTCGCTTACATATTTCGCCATGAACTCTGTAGAGTAAACGTATCAATTTTGTTGCTGCTACAATACAGTACTCATTCTTGGCAATATCTGCAGGTTGTATGATTTCCACTTCGGTATCTTCGTTGTTAGTGGAGCTAGACACTTGCTCTGATATGTCTTCTCCGATATCATCCTGCCCTTCGACATCCAGATCATACACCTCACTTTCAAGGGACGTTTTCTCAAGGTCATCAACTTGGAGCCTAAAAAATGACAATAATAAAATGACAAACAAAGGAACAGTTACATTCTAAGTACAAATTATATGCCAATTGTAAAAATTCCTTAGAACGATACTTATATTACTTGTTGTAGAAAGTATAACATTTCAGCACAGACGATTGATACAGTACAAAATATGGTATAAAAGCTAAATGAAAGTATATAGGTTTAAACTTGGCATGTTGAGTCATTTCACATGACAAATACTGTACACAAACCTAAAACTTGTGAGCCGTTCTTTTGAATTGTTTTTATATCTTTTAAGGTCTGAACTTACAATGAGCTATTTAGTGGGTTAAGCTCCTCCATGTCTTCTGAATCGTCACTGTCTTCGCTCTCACTTGCAGTCATGGTCCTCTCCAATATTGACGATACATTGCTTATTCGAGACCTTTAAAATTAGGAAAAAATAATGCTTAATGTAACCCACTCAATCACGCCTGTCACCATATATTTTTATCCCTCCAAACAATTCCAGAATGCACTGTGATCTTTTTTTGGGAAAAGGCTAATTATAAATACCTTGCAGAGCATGCCCAGGGCTTACCATTAATTGTAAACACACTTTATTATAAACAAAAATATGCCCTAATCTCATAAATTCACAGAGACCAAGGTGCTGATTTATTATAACTATTGGGCACTATGACTCCCTGAGTTACAATAAACCATTTTCTTAGCTTCCTGTGATGCCTGTAAGAAAGGTTACAGGAAACAAGAAAATTATAAACAACTCTAACATTTACATCAATATAAAGTCTTCTTGGTACTTCTTTGAATATACACTTTTAATAGTTGCAATATTAAATATTATAATATTGAATACATAATAAGAAATTAAAATTGTTTCATTTAAGAACTTACATTGCTGGTGAAGGGAGGGGAACATTGTCTATTGACAAACGACGGCGCTTAGGTGTCGAGAAACCATGTGCAGCTCTTTCCAAACTCCGAGTCGAAGTCGCAGCTTTATTTAAACGGGAAAAAAACGAAAGTCTGTAGAGTTACATGTTGTTGCATTATATTATTTTTATTCCTGTTTAATCTGTAACTCACCTGGCGAATGAATATGTCTTGGCGTCGTTGTGAAGACCTGTTGAGGCTCTTCGATGTTTGGCAACTCTCCCAGCTCACCTTCCGTTTGAGTTTCAACTTCACTGTTTTTAAGAAGACAAATGTATGAATATCAACCAATACAACAAAAAAATAAAACCCGCAGCACTTTTGAAACATATACTAACATTAAATCATATTGCTAGTTGAGTCTTTTACCTGAAATGCTGATTTTTGCGAGACATGTAATTGTCTAGCAATACTGCTGCTAGCTCCTTGTCAGATTTAAGCGCTAACTCGTTCATCAACTCTCGCCATCTCACGTGCTGATCGAACAAATAAATCTTGCTCGCGTCCCTCTCCGCGTAATATCGCTTTTTTTTGGCAACCTTGTCTTCTGAAGTAACAATACGAGCCTCCAAGCCTTGCGGCAAAGAGGAACTCGCTTGTGTGCTTGTTTCGTCCGCCATTTTGAATATGACACGCTATTATTGCATATATTAACATTCCAATGGTCGGGTCCCGACGTTTGGAATGTAGCGATGCGCAGAAAGTATGCGCAGAACGGACTTTACATGGTCTTTAACAACATGGAATGAAAATAGTTCCGACTAAAACTCAGCCAGCTCAAACTGCTCACGGGCAATCAAATAGATCGCTATCAAACGTGCTGAAGCAAGCGTATCATGTAGCATACTTGCTACAGTTTATTTTAAATTGTCGCCGCTTGTGTAATTTTTTTACGCATAACTAAGTCATTACACATGATTATAAAGTATAAACATTTACAATTAGTCAAAATACTAGTGACTGTGACATTTTGACTGCCCAACATCTCGGGTTGATTCTATAATAAGTGCACGCTTGCAATATACATTTACTAACAATCGTACCAACTTATGATGATATTTCCTTACTGTGGCACGCGAATACAAGCATATCAGCAATAAACGTCGCGGGCGGTACATCACCCACTATACTGTATACATACAAGTTCGTGTGGTTTGCGGCTCGACAACTGAACTCTGTAACTCAGTTGGTTAGAGCGCTGTACCGGAATCGCAAGGCCGCAGGTTCAAGTCTAGCATGCGATGCTGTTGCTTCTAATAATTTTTTTGCATGTAGCGTTCCCCCTCAAACACTCGCTTTTCATTGGCCATGCATAGCTGTAATGACACGTCAATCAACAGTAATATCAATAGTAAAAACTGTCAGCAAGTACAGGAATTGTAACAACATCCTATGCGCGAGTGCAGATATTCTAGGATTTCTGCACCGAATAAGTGTTGATGTTGCGAAAGTAATATAGCGTTGAATGCTCGCTCATTTTCATTACCTGCAATTTTGCAAGTTGTAAGCGCTCCTCACTAAAGTGTTTAGTATTGGACAATAAACTTTAAAATAATCTCCCTATGTACAATGTTGTTTAAGAATACAGATTCAAACAACTGCCGACTTGCAGAAGGCTTTGCATTCCCGGTTAATTTTTCGCTCAAAGCATATTGATTAGTTTTCTCGAGAAAAACTCAGGGCGAAAAAATGCATTTGCTCTAACTATAAAATTGCTTTTAACAAAAACTCTGATGTTTGCCATCCCTGTATTAATTTATTGAAGTCGACATATATCGCCAGACTCGTGCGTGATTGACATTTCGCAGCAGGAAAACAACAAAATTCTGCTCTGATATGATTGGTCAATCTACAAAGCGAATTTGAATTTATTGTAAGGGCGGCACGAAAATTTATTAGAAGCAACTGCAGGCTCTTCGTTCCCCTAACCAGAGCCTGCCTCTCAGGCTAGTTCAATTCCAGCCAGAGGGCCTATAGATGTATTTTTCGCAGCTGCTTCTGGTTAAGTAAAAAATTATAATCTTCCGCTCGAAATTTCCATCTACAAAAACCCTTCAACTGTTAGTCCTATAGACCGACAGATGATATCTCAAGCTGCATTATAATTACGTAATCATAGAATTTGGTACAAAATTATAACGTCATGTGGCATACGTGCTGTTTTTTGATTGAACAATTTAAAGTTGCAGTATAATATATTAAATGTATATATAAAATAGGTTTTTTCATTAATTTTCCGTTACTAATGAAAGTAATAATCTCAGTTGTGAAATTACTTATGACAGTTGCACATGTGATGATTATCGCTGAATCAGTTGCACATGTGATGATTATTGCCGAGCCACACCAGACGCGATGCTACACGCGGCGCGATTTTTCAGTGTTTGAAAGTTGTTTTAAAAGGAAATTTGAAAACATGTGTACCAAATCATTCAAAATGTTATATTCCTGGTTAATAATCCATCTAACATAATCTCGATAGTTTAACCATATAACATGCTTAAATGAACCAGGAATCCTGTTTAGATTCGCCACAATAGTGACCAAACAACCAGTACTGTGGTTAAATTAACTAGGAAATTTATCAAGGAACATTAAGTTACTCTAAACACCATTAATTTTAGACTAACAAGAAAAATTTTAGTCCAGGTGTTTTTGCGCGTATTATTCTCCATATATTTGGTAACCGTGTACATACCTTGAACTTCGTCTGGAATATGAAATCTCTTCAGTACATGTTGAACGTAAGAAGCTGAAACTGCCGCACCAAATTGGCACCAAGTCGAATTTTGACAGTCATCACTTGCCCACTTTGCAATAGATTTACAGGACAGCCACGGTACTCCAGAGTTCTGACAAGTTGCATATACCCCTAAAAAAAATAAAACTGAGGTTATATTTGATATTCGAGGGAAACATGGGAACTCAAAAACATTCATGTCTTACACACGATAGGGCTACCCGAAGGTGACATGTTTCTGTTAAATTTCTGACGAGCTTCATCTCTCCTCTAGCCTCGTATTAGGGCGTCTAATTGTCATTAGAAACTTACAGATTCGATCCCTGTATAGGTACTGATATTCCAAGCTCACGCGTTGATGGAATGCCAGCCACCTTGAGCATTTGAATGTATAATGTGCTTTTGAATAGTGTAAATAACGCGTGTGTCGCGAAATATTTATAATACTGCGAGTACGTAGCACGAGAGTAATTTCTGACATTAAATTTCAATTCAAACCTACAAAATCTGTAAATAATCTTTATTTCTTCTTTATCTTCTGTATTTGAACATAAATAAAAGCTGAGACAGTAATACAAATTTTCACGTTGTTTATTTAGATTTTGCGTTTAATATTTCTGCACTCACCTGACCGTGCGAAATGGACGCGTGCTTGTATACGTCCAGATAAATCTTTAATCGGTACAGTTTTTAACCAATACAAACGAGTAAATTGACTAAAATGATATTAGTTATGAAATTGGTTGCGTCTTTTCATTAGAAATAGGGCCTGACTATTTAATTATTCTTACTACACAACCGGTTGCTCCTCGGATCTGGAATATTTAGAGAATTTACCCGGGACGACGCTTCTGACAATATACCAGTTTTCCAATAGGAAATCATTCCGATCGCTCGCATTAGTATACCTACGTTTTGACGCTTTGTCTACTCCAATTGTTCCCGCTTTGTGCAATTTCCTCTTTTTGTCGTCACCACCTTGTAAACCTGTCGTCAACTGACCAACATGGACTTTTGGAACTACCACATTTTCACAAGGACCAACCCACGCAAATTTCCCACGGTCGAACAAACGCACCAATCCCAAATTGCAGTCATACGTTGTACGATTAAAATTTGACAAATCGTCATCCTGTTGCTCAAGAAAGTAAACTTGTGATGACACCACGACATCACCAAGGAAATGTGCTTCTTTCCTTACACCATCGCAAACTCCCAGACTAACAATAGCTTTTGGTTTAAGTTCTTGGATTGTGTCATAAACCAGAACGTCATGACCTGAGGAAGTGCCGGTCTTGCCGAAGTGTGGAACTTTCAAGACCGTCACTTTATTGCTACCGATTTCTCCAAAGCAACGGTTTTTGACACTTTCGTCTTTCTTGCTTGGTATTTTGACATTGTCTAATATTTTTTGCGCTTCTTTAAACTCCGTGTCGTCCACTGTCAGTAAAAGAACATCGTTAAAATCTTTGAATTCGGAGTCCACCGTCGTGGTGCATTGGCCTAAACAAATGAACATGCGGACAAATAAAGAAAATAACAACGAAAAATATGATTGGCAGACGGACGGGCCGAGTGACAGGCGGAAGAGAGTTTTATTTTTATTTGCCGAGACAGAAGAATCTGCAAAGTGAAACCATGCACATAATGCACCTTGGCGGTTCCTGGGAATCTATCCCGCTAGTCAACTAATGATCGCAGGTCTAGACTGTGTCGGAGGCAGCAGGAGTTCGTTACTATAGCAACACGCGCTTACGAAATTCACTCTACAATAGCCTATTGGTTTGTGTGATTGGGAAAGAAGCACAGTGATCCCGAATTTTTTTCGTGGAATATTTTACTTACAACATAGACTATTACAGTACTATAAGCAATATACAAAAAACAACCCAAAATTCTCGGGTTTTTTCGATAAAATTTTTTTGCATTACAGATGTTTTATTTTTGGTATATTGAAAGACTTTTGCAGTACAATACAGCTACCTCCTCCCCAGGCCATACAACCCGTAATCAGTATGCCCGTTCGCAGGTTAAAATTTGAAATCTGAGACGAAGCTGCTGTAAGGGCTGTTGAATAACATGTCGATTTTTTGGCTTTTATAAATCATTGTATGCTTGTTTGTTCAGTATTCACTGTTTTTATGTATATTGCGGATACGAAAAGCGGTCTAATCAGAAATAGTTAAAGACTTTAATAATAATTAATATTGTTCTGGTAAATAATTCGGTTTGTGGCTCCCGCCATTTTGGAAAATTAGTCCGCAGCATGCAGGCCTTTCCGTTCGTTTCCCACCAATTATATATTTTAAAAAGGCCTGCGGAGGAGGTATATAGACAATACAGCGTGCAAAATTTCAACATAAGTCACCGCACGAATTAAATAATTAATGAGTGAGCAATTGACATGGAACGCGTTATAACCACGTACAATTGCGCGAATATTAGGATTTGTTCATATTACGTAACGTTTTGTTCTTGCGGTTCTTGTGTAAGGGATTTTGTGTGTATTAATATATCCAACCACCTTAAAGGACAATGACCAATTGGGGTTCCAGGGATCAGATTTACATTTTCTTGTGCTTTAACAATATAACTATTTAATCAGAACAAACTCTGCTAATCCAAACTTTAGACTGGCCAGAAGAATTTTGATAAAAAATTCTGGTTTAAAAATTAGAATTCAGTTTCAGTGTATTTTCTACACTACAAAGTACTATAGCACACATTATGTGCTTACTAAATTAAACCATGTTTGTTATATAGCTAGCGTGAACACCAAACGTGATTGCCTGATTTGTGGTCACGTGACTTCAGATAAATGCAATGTTTCCCGCCGGGCAACAAGTGAAAAATTGTTGCCCGCCCCGACCGGCCACGTACATAAATAAACAAAATAAAGAATGTAAAATGGAAGAAAAATACAGAACAGGAAACAAGATATGCTGCCGAAACCGTTTAAGTAGGTTCTTTAATTTTAAACTCGTTTACTCTATAGAGTTTTTGCCACGAAAAACAATTGTTGCATATGAATGTTGTTGAAGTTGATTTTTGTTCGTCGCTATATAACAAAACACTTAATGTCTGTTCCCTCGGGAAATAGTTAGTTTTGTTTTCTCTCGAATCTCAATGTTTCCCTCGACTTCGTCTCGGGAAATATTGAGACTCTCGGGAAAGCAAAACTATTTCCCTCGTGAGCAGACATTAATTAAGTGTATAATATACCATAGCATACGCCAAACTCGCTCTGGACGTAATGCTGCCACATTGCTCACTCGTTATCGTGACTGTGTTTTTTTTTATTAAAATGTACATCAGGGAAACATGACAAAAATTTATGGCAAATTCATAGCAAAAGTTATGAGGTAGATGTTCGATTGTTTTTGGTATTAATATATTTCAATGGAGATAGAACATGGAGATGACACAATGGAGATAACACAATCTGAATTGGCTCTCTACTAGCAGGATATTAGCTTTTAGTATTTTTGCACAAGTGAATATAACAATTCTACAAGTCGACTGGTCAAATTTGACGCATTAAGAACGTCTTATTAACCGAACGCGAGGTCTGTACAGAGAAATATCGGACCGAGGACTTTTTTGTACAGACCGAGCCCGTAGGGTGAGGTTTGTACAAAAAGGCCAGTGGCGTAGCCAGGATTTCTGGCCAAGGGGGGCGAAAAAAATCAGGGGGGGCACTTCAAACAAGATGAAAACTGAAAAGAAGAAAACAAAGTACGTACACATAGGCACATCCAATTAGTTTTGTTTAATTGTAAAACTGCAAATACAACAAACGTTAAATTGAATACCAAAGGTATAACAACGTTAACGCTATATAAGGAATAAAATATTCACACTGAGCCACACGTTAACCAGTGCGGTAAGAAACTCTTATATAGTGATTGGGGGAGCTAAAAGCAAGGACCGAACGCCCGAGGAAATTTTTAAATTTAGAGTCTCTGAAATGCCATTTCCTGAACTTTGGGGAAGATTTGACAGAATTCTGATGGTCAGAAAACAATGTTTTAGTACGAAATTTACAATTTAGTAGTACTAACTGGGCGAAGGCGTGTTTAATTAACTATATTTTGGATAAGTTGCAGGAAAGTATGGGTAATATCTTCATTCTTTGCAGTTTGTCATGGATATAATGAACCACTTATTGTGGGAGGGACGCAGCCCCTCGCCCCTCCCCCCCCCCCCTTGGTTGCTACGGCCCTGATTAACCTATTTAATAAGTTTGCCTTGTGACATGGATTTGCTGATAAAGTAAAACCCTGCACGTACGACCAACTTGCTTGTTGTTATTTTGATAATCAAAGATAATGCCTCGAATAATAGTAAGTTAAAATTTACCAAATTCTCCTTAGTTGCTGAAAATGTTAAAAGCTGAAAACAATTTCTATGTGTTTCGATTAAGAGACTACAATTTGAGCCAACAGGACGAAAAATTTGAAATTTCCAAACACCGAAAAGTTTGAGCATATAAATTTAGCGCGCGTGTTTTAACAAAGAAGAAAGGAAAAAGCCGTCGGTTGGTGTTTTAACCATGAAGTCTAACTTTGAATTTTCCCAGCGGGGGGCAATAATTTTGCCAGGGGGCCCGGCCCAGTGGCCCCCTCTAGTTACGTCACTGAAAAAGACTGAGGTCCGATATTTCTCTGTATATACCGAGCAAGAGAGGTTAACAAAAAGTTTATTATATGGCATTTTTACTTGAAACAGACAAGAAATGCATGATTTGAAATGCATATTAGTAGCGTGGTACACATTTAGTCGAAGAAAACAAGAATACCAATGTATACCTTCTTTTCCACTAAAAACCATTCGCAGATATCTTACTAATAACAAAATTAAACCAAATTAAGGATATTAGGTGCTACTCCGAGTAACGCGACAATCGATATCGGATAATCAGAGAAAAATTTACTTGGCCGCGGCTGGGAATCGGTCCCGCGATCGTTCGTTTTCTAGTCCGATATACTTTCTAGTCAACTGATAATCGCAGGCCTAGAACGCGCCACCGTCCTTTTTGGGGGTTACATGTAGTGCAGCGGGAGGACGGGGAACTGGCACGGGAGAGGGTGTGGGACAAACGGGACTGTGGACATTCTATTCATAACTGCGTGCGCATCAGTCTGGAAAATCACTTTAAGGTAAAGTATTACATAAACAACATACCTGTGGGTTTTTTTGTCTGTGTTAATTTTTTATTAATGCTTTTCACCTCATGTTCCACAACACTTATTTTATGTTTTATTCCACGCACTTCATCTTGTAGTTCTTTATAATTATAAAAGTGTAAAATTTAAGGCAGTTACTTGACACGTCCCCGTACTGGATTAAGTTTGCTTAAGTTCGCTATTACCCCCACTGGAGCTAGGCATATCAACTTATGTTCAATATGAGGCTGAAAAACAATAGCTGAAGGAATTCAACGATAAAGTTATTGATCATATGGTATAAATGCAGCTTTCGGAATGGAAAATCAATTGTTGAGGTATAATACTATAATTATACATAACTAACATACCTGTGGTTTCTTTTGTCTGTGTTAATACTCCTTCAATGCTATTCAGTTTTTGATTCAGTTCACTCATTCCATCTTTCATTTCACTTATTCCATCTTTCATTCCACTCATTCCTTCTTTCATTCCACTCATTCCATCTTTCATTCCACTTACTCCATCTTTCATTCCACTCATTTCATCTTTAATTTCACTCATTCCATCTCTCATTCCACTCATTCCATCTTTCATTCCACTCATTCCATCTTTCATTTCACTCATTCCATCTTTTATTCCACTCATTCCATCTTTCATTTTACTAACTCCATCTTTCATTTCACTTATTCCATCTTTCATTCCACTCATTCCATCTTTCATTTTACTAACTCCATCTTTCATTTCACTTATTCCATCTTTCATTCCACTCATTCCGTCTTTCATTCCACTCATTTCATCTTTCATTCCACTCATTCCATCTTTCATTCCACTCATTTCATCTTTCATTCCATCTTTCATTTCATCTTTCATTCTACTTATTCCATCTTTTATTCCACTCATTTCATCTATAACCTTGCTTTGAAGAAACAGGTGGTAGTCATTTCTCTGACGACTGATGTTTTCCTTGAGTTTTTGTACTTTGTTTGTAGGAAAATCCGATTCCTTCAAATTGCCAATCCTCTCCAGAGATGTCGTGCTAAAATTCAAAGCAGTGAACGCGTCCTTGGCGTGCTTGACATAGTCATCGAACGTGACTTTATTCATACAAGGACTGGTTGTATGACAAAGACTGTTTCGTAAAAGACGGAGCTGGTCAAAGGCAAGCGCAATCGTTTCATTTGCATCTCCGCTCGAGCTTCTCACTGCAGAGTGGAATGGAGCAGGGACTGGCTTTCGTCCTTTTAAATAAATTTCTCCAAGTGTCTTTTTCTTTCCTGTGCTGTCTGGTAGCGCAAATGTTCTTGCATACAGAGTGGCTTGAAATAGTGCAGTGCAGTGCCACTCTTTAAATGACTTGTTCGTGGGGATTTTTGTGTTTGGAGCCTCGTTGTTGTGGAGTATATTGCGTACAAAAGGGGAGTCATCCCAAACGGTGGAACTTGCTGCAACTTTGGTGTCCCACATGTCTACAAAGATGCTACGCAAAGCATCTGGGAATTCCTTTAGGACAATCGACGCAAACTTGAAGTAGTTCAGCTCTTCATCAGAATACGGCTGCATAGACATATTGGCTGACTGTCTGAGTAAAAATGACACAGAAAAAAAGCATGAAAAAAACCGATGCAAGGAAAAACATGTCCAAAGCAAATAGGCCTTTCCCGATTGCGCTGGTAAAATCCTAAAAAAGTGCTGGCAAAAATGGCTAAAAAGTGCTCAAAAAGTGCTCAAAATCTCAAAATAGTGCTCAAAAAGTGCTAAAATTGTGAACAGTTACCTCTAAGATTTTCGTAAATTTTTTAAAATCAGCATTTTTTAAAATCTGTTTCCACGTCTTTCTCCATATATGGAACAAACTTCCGTATATGGAGTTGTTTACGACAAAAAAAAAGAGAACTCGAAAAAGTCAGCTTTCTAATTTTTTAACTGTAATGTCATATGCAGCTGTACGGCTTTTCTTTTGGAGTTATACCTAAATTATATATAAAATAATAATATAATACCCGTCAATTTTTAAACCTTACTCCGAACTGTATGTTTAGTTAAACGAGGGACGAATCGAATTCTATAATCGCTGACTTTTTGTTGCTCAAAATTTGCTCGAAATGTGAAATATTGCTCAAATGTTGCCCAAAGTGCGAAAAAGTGCTCAACGTTGCTCAACATGCAAAATGGTGCTCCAAACAAAAAAAAGTGCTCAAAAAGTGCTCAGCGCAATCGGGAAAGGCCTAAAAGCAAATAGGTCTGACATGGAAATTTAATGAACGTAACTAATTAAAGAGGTCACAGTTTACGACGCAATGTTTCGACACTCCGGTATGGTTGGTTATAAATTTATGCCGATGCCCCAAATCCCTCAATTTTTGATAATATACAGTAAAGAACAGATTAACATAACAATTAGGCTACATCAGTAACTGTAAGATAGATCAGTTAGATCGTATAATATTATCTCAGTTAACCGGCCAATTGAAGTGAATATCCAAGTAAAACAAGTAAAGTATCCAATTATGTAAGAAAAAACCTTGTTTTATTTCATGATTACGTAAATCTTAGCTATCCACTGAGATAGTAATTAGTGGCAAAGCTGCAAATTGATATCCTCGAGGAATTACAAGAACTGCTATGGATTTTGTGAAAACGAGGTACACATGCCAAACAATATCACGATAGATTGACCATAGCGATTATTGCGATTATATCGCGTCGCTCATGTTTCTACCTTCGCTACGATAATCATAAGTGTAACGATATCACGATAATATTGAAATATTGCCTACATTTCGGTCTAGTGTTTTCATCAGGGCTGAACGTTTTGACCAGAATGTCGAAGACACCGGAAAGTCGAAACGGTGATTTGCTAACTGTAACTTCTTTAAATTACGTTCATTACATGCCCGAAGCCAGAATGGGATTGTATAATATGGGGGGTGGGGGATACGTTAACAGGTTCCATGTCCCACTGTATAGACAGTACTGAATCAACCGTGAAAACCAATAAATTTTACACAATTTTATTTCAAATACATATTGCGACGAATAATAACGAGTAAAGATTATATCAACTACATTCAACCACTACCAAATTCTAGATACATGGTTATATTTATAATACATTTTAAAGGAAGAAAATAGCCATATGCTGACGTTATTTAAGAAATAGAAAACGAGTCGTGTGCGTTTATGGTGTGACACGGCACGAAGGAAATGTTGGGAGAATACGAGAGAAGCGTGTACAACACGAGGCCGAGTGTTTTCTCGCATTCTCCCAAGATTTACCGAGTGCATTATCGCACGATAAACGCACAAAACGAGTTTTTGTATTTCTTTTATAATATACGTAGAAGATATTACATAGTAAACAATTTTACTCAAGATTGATTTTGAAATTCTCATAACATGTACTCCGTGACGTCACGCGCATGCGTTTACTGGCGCCTTGAATTTTTAGCCCACGAAGGAGCAAGGAACAGGTTAACACTTTTCCATCTGCCAAACTGACGTGACGTCATTTTCGGAAGATGGAAGAGGTGTTATATGGTTATGTAACTAACCCAAGTCTAACACCAACAATGACTCTAACCCTAATTTAAACCTAATCTAACTTTTTTAAACTTTTTTTGAAAATCATTTTTTCACTTTTTTTGAAAATCTCGCTCAATTCTAATTTTTGAAATTATCAGTATTCTTTCTCTTTTTCCGAATCAGTATATAAATGGCAGTTTTGATCAGAAGCTTGAAGGTGCTTTCTAAATAACATATGTTCAGTTTTTTGCCTTTTTCTATGTTTGTGGTATTCCTGGACTATAGATAAAATTGAACTATCAGATAAAATTGCTTTGTCACTTCGGTCTATTACTGCTTGCTTTCTACTAAACTGTCCTGAAGGGGTAAAATGGGAATTGGGATTTGCTTATTTTTGGGTGGGAAAATGGGATTTCATGCACTGGGACTGGGATTCGTCAGCAAAAAAACAATAGAAAATGGGATTAAGATTTAAGCAGGACAGCCAGTGAGATGGTGGGATTTGTGCTCTTATAGTTTTGGTAATAAAAAGCAGAAATAAAGAGGGGAGGGACACAGAAAGATCAAGGCAGTGCCACAGACCACAGTGTATTATTGGTTTATAACGCACGCGGATTTGCCAATCAAATTGCATGTTATATCCTGCTTAGGACTTATGTACCTCGCCTACAGGAAGTTCATTCCTTAATTAATTATTTTAATTAACCTGTTCAAAGAAGAACATGTTAAAATCAATGCGTAGCCATTGTTAGTACAGATATGCCATTGACTAATGGTATCTAATTTCTAGTAAAGGTATATTATTCTATCATATGTATATTAATTTTTATATGTTCTTATAAACTAACAAATTTGTTAATTAACATGATCGAACTGGAAAGCAGTCAAGCGTTTTTCACACGTACCGACGTACGTAGAAAAGTTCAATTAAATCTTTCTTAAAGGCTGATTTCCACTGTTGCGTTTTTCCAACATGAGCTCCACCTTTGAATTTACTATATGAGTAAATTCTTACACACGTCCGAATTTATCATTATGATAAATTCGCGGCACATTTTGAATTTATCAATAGAGTTAATCATGAAACCACATTCATTGCACAAAGTTTCTTGTTATAAATGTAATGGCACTAAAGGGGAGGCTGGTCGCGCAGGGGCACAGAGTAGAGACATACAGAGACGTAACTAATGTACCCACTTTTTTGTGCGCATGCTCGGCAAGTTACTAGATGCATGCATCTGATTGGATGACGACTCACTTTAAACTTGCTGAGCACGCGCAGTTGATCATTTTTTGTTCGGTCGCCTGAAAAAAAGTGGGTACATGATAACGTAATCTTCCGCAGTGTTTACAATGGTCAGTTACGTCTCTGTATGTCTTATCTAGTCTGTGGCAGGGGTAGGGAGTTTTTCATGTTTTTTAAAAAAATAGTTTTTAAGAAAGTTTTAAAAAGTTTTAAAAGAGTTTTGAAAAGCAAAAAGTTTAAAAAGTTAGATTTTTAAAAAAGTTAAAAAAATTTAAAAAGTTAAAAAAATGAGGGTTAGGGTTAGGGGTTAGGGTTGGGGGTTAGTGTTAGGTGCCGCGAATTTATTATTATGATAAATTCAAAATTTGCCGCGAATTTATCATAATGATAAATTCGGACGTGTTTAAGAATTTATTCATATAGTAAATTCAAAGGTGGAGCTCATGCTGCGTTTTTCGTACGCTCGTGACACGCATGCATGCATGCACGTAAAGCTTGGAATCCTTCTATTTTTTAAATATTTTACAAATAAGTTAACAAATGCATACTAAAACTTGCGGAACACTAAATTCTGTTGCTTTATTTACTTGGTTATTTCATAAGTAACATTTAAACGAATTTAAAGTTTTACGTGCTTATACATGATGTACGTATGATTTAAAAACGCAACAGTGGAAATCAGCCTTTAAGGTTTTTCATACGTGCGTATACGCACGTAAAAGTTGAATTCGCTTAAAATTTCATATAAGTGCAAATAACCTTAACAAATAGCCTACACATTAAATCATACACAAAACTGAATGCTGTCCTTTTATAAATCTTAGTTAGTTCGATCATAAGTAGGATGTTAAGCGAATTCAACTTTTACGTCCGTGTACGCACGTATGAAAAACGCGTAACTGGAATGCAGCCTTAAATTTTACATAAGCACTAATTACATCAACAAATACACTTCAATTCATGCACAAAACTATATCGACACTGTGATTTTATTCACTCATTTATTTCAAAAGAAACTTTCAAAGGGATTAAAATTTTAATGGAGAGCAGCTTTACATTTCTTTTCCGGCAGTCGGATGTGATTGTGCTCAGACCATGCACAGGTTGTTTAACATGATTGTTTATCACCATATTATATCACCATAAATGTTAAAATATAGTTATTAAAACATGTTTACTTATCTCTACTTCAAGGTGTATTTGCCATTTTGCTGTGGTGTCAATCAGATTTCAGACCGCCTGTGGCATTTAAAATAGTTTTATTAACCCCCATGTTGTTCAGCCTATTAAATTTATTGCCATATTCAAATCCAACACTATCCATACAAATATTCGACAGAAATGCAATTAATCGTCGTTAGTGTTTCACTTACGAGTTCGCTGTGTTGGTATGTTCATCCTTGTGAAATTTGCCGTCATTTGGGATATCTTTTACCGCGTAGTGCCGAGTTAAAATCTCTCTCACTTAATAAGAGAAGGTAGGAGACTGCCGCTCGCAAACGACACACGTGCCCGACACTGTATTTTATCCCAACTCGCAAGGATAGTTTCCGCGAGACTGTTTCATTGTTTGTTGTGTTACTGTGTCTGCTCTACTTTCAAAATGCGAAAGCCAAAATAGCCGCTACTACCGTGAACAGTGTCAGCCTGTATTGAGATCAACCAACAGCATGTAGCCACTATTCACTAAAATATGCAAAAGTAAGTTTAACTCACCGTTCAGAACGTGCGGATTGATCTATTCCATTTCTACGTAGAAAACGTTTGCTTTACACAGCTGTAGGTTATTATTATTGCCTTGAACATAAAATAATTTCAAAGTTTTCTTTATTTTTCGGTTTCCTGCTTATTTAGCGACTTGATTCAAGGACTCACTTCCGTACTGGCAAATATCTCGAAGGAAAAACGATTGTTTGAGAATTTATCCTTCAAAACAGGAATTTTATATCCACCTTATCTTTATATTTTAGAGTAGCCAAGTAGCCACAGTGTACGGGAGGGGAAAAATTATGGACGGACAAAATATGCCCGACATTAAGTTCTCATAAGGGGCCATGCAAAATTTATTTTATACGGGTCGGAGCAAAAGAGGACGGGGTATTTACTTTATTGAGCTCCATAGAAGCGGGACATTTTTTTCTGCCTTGCAACTATACATAGGAGCGGGACACAAAAATTGTTCTGCCTTGCAACGTGTGGCACACATTTTTTCGTGTTCTTCCCAATTATTAAACCCATTAAGCAGCAATGCACGCAAATGCACCCTTTTTTTGTATTTTACTGAGATATTAAGATAAGTATTAATGCCCAACAGAAAATACGTAGAAATATGAATAAATTACAACTATTTACAAGATATTATATTTCAAAAGAAGAAAGAGGAATGGATCAGAGTAGAAGCAGAGGGACCGAACTGCCTTGTAAGTTGAGAGAGGGTTTAGGTTTGTTAATTAGAAGATGTCTTAAATAAGTTAAAGACGAAACGTTAGCTTTTCTAATAAATATTTTTCTAAACTATATTTTTGTTATGGCTCTTTTACGTATTTTGTGCTGGGCATTAATATTTATCTTAAGATTACGATTTCCGCCTGGTAAATCAATAAATTGATCCAGGCCTACAATCACGTGCAAAAATAATGAGACTTTACGTATTCAACTCAAACATTATTTTTCATTTTGACACCTTTACATTCGTATATAATTCAATGTTTCCTTACTGTTTCTCCCCTCCCCCCATTGACGATGTTGGGTGAATGTTTTCAGCCAACACTGTGGTTTAGTTACTTTAGTATCATGGAAACAACATTGTTTTGGGGGGAAGTGGGGGGGGGGGGGGGGGTCTCGATAATTTTTGCTTCTGATTGTTTATTTATTTATTTTTTTATTAACATAACAGAACAGCAAATAGACATCTAGACAATAAACATGAACACCACAACAGTGTAAACCAATAACTGTGCGTCCTTACATTATTGTCTCTATATAGTCTATACATATACACATTTTAAGCCAATTTTATGTCTAAGTTGTCGCGAGAAAATACGATTGTAACTTTTCTTTTGGTTGTTAATCTTTTTTATGTTTACTTGACAATAAATTCACATAATTAGATTATGTCAGTCAAGACGTCACTATGACGTCATCATAATATAATAAAAAGTGTGATTTATACAATATTTGTTTGCAATACTTGCCGTTTCGTTAAAAAGAAATTTCAAATGTAGCCAGCTTACGCGTGTTTACTCAATGACATACGCCAGAAAGCGAATCAGGCAGGCAATACTTTATTTAAAATTAACAAATGATCAACAAGTTAACACTAATCAATCGCAGTGTGTAAACGCAGCTTGGTTTATAAGTATAATCGTGTTCTTGTATAACTCGTATTATCTCGAACCATCAGTGTTACTATAGATATATCGCTACTACAATTCGTTATTTTGTTCTTTTAATAATGTTGAAAATAAAACCTTGAATGAGATAACTTCCTGTTAATGCAAGTACGATTCCTAAGAAGTTTATTATCTCTAAGGGTACGTTTACAATTTGTCGGACCAGTTTCAGGTCCATTTCGATGTTAGTAGACAGATTTCGAAAAGACGACGATGCGGTCTGAATTTCACTTCAAGATTGAGAGCTAAGGACTTGATTACTGGAATAAATTGAAGCTTTTTAAAATAACCTTAGGCTTACAAACGGCTGTAAGATCGGGAAAAAATGATCCGCGGTGTCTGCTGTGATGATCATAAACGGTGAACTACTTTATTCTAACTACTATTTCATGATATGATAGTCTATTTACAAAAACTCTATTTATACTAACAATTATGTAATCGTCCCAAGCAGTCCCAGGCTTACTCATGCATATATAACTATGACCTCTGCTACGAAACAGATTTTATGTAACTCCTACAACGTCGCAAGACTCGCAACAAGCATTCACTTTGCTCCAATGACGACAATGACGTGAAATCTTATTTTAATGTTGCATTCAGAATGACAACGTTGAATCACAAGAATAAAAAGGTACAGCAGAAGTGTACCTCGAGTCGGTTCCCTTATTGTTTTACGCCCACGAAAATTTTAACTCGCTCACGCTATCCTGGCTAGTACAACCAGACGTTTTTATCAGGTTTTGGTAGGTACAAAGTGCCGGTTGTACTAGCCAAGATGACGTGATTGATGACGAATCGCTTGTAAAAACGCGGACAAATACTTGCTTGAGTCACGCTTCTGCTGAACCTTCTTATTCTGTGGTTGAAGGTACTTCTGAGCCACAAATTATTCAAACTTTTTGTTTTGCTTAAAAAGTATCTTTGTTTCGAAGGCGGGTCTTTCAGTTCGCGTTATGTTCTCTAAATCAGTCTAGTATACGTCATACCGACAACGACAGGAACAACTGCAAGCACTATTTGTCATTTTTAAAACAACGTCTAATCTAAAATGTGCAAGTGCATACAGAAGAATATTTATCTCAAGTTTTTTAAAGTAAGTCTTGCATAAGAAATAGTTTCTTATTGTAGCATATTTTTCTTGAGAAAATTTTATTCTTATAAGATAAAATGATTTTTTTAAGAAAAAAATTGTTCAGAAACTTATTAACAAAATTCTCTTCTAAAAAAGAAAAGCCTTATTTTCAGAAAAATTATTTAAAACAAATTTTTTTTTTCTCCAAATAAGAACATGATTTTTCCCGGTAAAAATTTTTTTTAAGAAAAAGTATTCTCATTATTCTCCGAAGAACTTTGGACTTATTTCAAGAAAAAGTTCTTGAAATTATTTTTTTTCTTAAAGTAAGAAAGCGGTTTTTTGCTTCGTATCAATTGCATTTGGCGATAGCTGTTGTTTGTATCTTCGTTCTCCTGTCCAAACAGCGTTGACCTGATATCAAGTGCTTGCTGGCATGAATCCAGAGCAGAATCATAATCTTGCATTTCGTATTGACATTCTGCAATCCAGTAGTAGCTTTGAGCGGAGGCTGGGTGTTCCTTTCCATAAAGCGCCACCCTAATATCCAGGGCTTGCTGGAGCCAATGCATAGCTGAATCATACTTTTTCGAGTGATACTTTGTCGCTCCAATTATAGAACAAGCGCGGGCGATGTCTGGATCGGTTTTCCCATGAAGATTTTGTCCGATAGCAAGTACTTTCTCAAAAGATTGCAGTGCTGACTCGTAATCGCCTCTCCCATATTGGGCATATCCAATCTGCAAATAGCTCTTGGCCGTATCTGAGTTGTTCCCATAAAGCTTCAGTCTGATGTCTAGTGCTTCATAATGAGATCTCAAAGAAGCATCATAATTTTTCTGTTTGCGTAAAATTCTTCCGATAGTATAGTACCTTTTGGCTGTATCCGGGTTTAACCGACCATTTTCTTCTATAAAATTGTCAAGAGCGAGCTGCAGCGCTGCTGGACTCTCTTGCTCTACTTTGATCCTTGCCAGGGTGTTTTCAACGATGAAGAGTAGAGGTAAATATAGACGGTCGTTCTGTGCCTCAGCTTCGACTTCTTTCTGTAACTTGGAGATGAAAAAACCAAGTTTGTGCATTACCTCCTTCAAGTCATTGTAATATCCAATAGAGTTGATTTTAAGAGCAAGCAGCAAAATGAGTGGTTGTTTTAAAGCTTTTCGGTTTTCTTTCTCGTCAGCGCAATCATTTTCTTGTATAGCTTTGAAGAAAGCATATAGGGATGGTCTGTCAGCGCATTCAGTTAAAACAACGTTCCTGTAGTAGGAAGACTTTTCTCTGTGAGGAGTTATCAAAGCAAGAATCTGGGAGCATAAAACCTT